AGCTAATGTCAATGACAGCTAATGTCAATGACAGCTAATGTCAATGACAGCTAATGTCAATGACAGCTAATGTCAATGACAGCTAATGTCAATGACAGCTAATGTAGGCCTACACATAATAATTACACATTCTCCTACATCGCTATGCTGCGAAATTAATTAACAAAATAATAACACAATAGAATTAATGTACGTGAAAGTCACTGTTAAGTAGCCAACCGTCATACCTTCACGATCGCCAAGGGGTCGTAAACTAGCATATAATTTATGAGCAGCAGAGATACGGATAGACTTGAAATTTTCGAGGAATAACTTAGAGCCTTTTTCTCACACGGGTACCGAATTTCAAATGTGGCATCACTTCGGGAGCTGAGATATGACTCTCTGAAACGAGCCCCCAAAACACAGAAATCAATGGAAATTAATGTTCGCTCCATACGGTTAGGCGCAGTGTTAGCAATATAGTTAGGGTAAATTGCAACCAACAAAGTTAAGATATTTTGATACTGTTAGTGTTAGGGGTGCCACAAAAAAGTGAAACGAGGATAATTATCTATTTTCTGGCACCAAATGAGTGTATTTTAATGTACATATTAAATAGCATGTACATATGTACACGTATATGTACATGTTTAAATAAAAAAACATGCTTAAATGTCATTTGAACATGCATGTGTCTAAAAACCATGGTAGAGGACTTGAATAACTGATTTTCATTAACATAAACCTTAATTATTCGCTTTCTTGGGCAGAACAGCTTTCCTTATCAGGCCGCTCTTTATCCGGTGAACAACAGTAGAGGGCGTCCATAGGCGGCAGGCCTGAATAAGCGTCGAAGAGAAATTAATTAAAAATACTCATACTGTTACTTCGCTTACACAACATACACTTTATTCATGTCAAATAACTACAGATTCATGCTCTATGCTCTGCTCGAAACCTTTGCCAGCTCTATGATGCGAATTTCTGCAAAGTAGTCTGAACACATTTCAAACACAAAAATGACCAACCGGATAATGCATAATGCAAATTATTGCAGTTTAGTGCCGAATTTAAGCGAAAAAAAATCCAAAAAAGGCCTTTTCTAGAGACGAAATAGTGGAGGCTTACTGTTATATGGCTCTTTAATACCTGCTATTGACCTACGATTGTTACTGCTAGCTGCCGCTTCTGCTACACTTTTCACTCATACTTTCTCTCTCTCTCTCTCTCTCTCTCTCTCTCTCTCTCTTCTTCTTCTTCTTCTCTT